CTGGTGTTCGTGTAGAGGACCCTGGAGGTGCTAACTCTAGACGTGTTGGCGTCGGAGCTGAGAGTGTCCCTGTACGAGGTCCTGGTTCTGGGGGTGCTGGAGTTGGAGCTGAGCCCGTGACTGCAGGAGACTCTAGTCTTCGGGGAGCTGGTGTTAGTCGAGCTGTCCCTGGGGGTGCTACGACTGGGGGTGCGGGTGCGCCCTCTACTGGACCCGAAGAGCCTGGGACAGCCCGTGTTGCTTCTGGTGGTGCTAGCTCTTGGGGTGATACGACAGGTGCTTTGAAGGGTGGTCCTGGGGCTTCCACTGCCCTGGACACTACTCCGCGCCCGCACCCCTACCCGACCCGGCACCAGGCCCGTCTTTGCCGTGCACGTGAGGAGCAGCTGGAGTTGGAGAGAGAGGGACTAGAGATGGAGCGGCAGCAGCTGGAGCTCCGACACCTGGAGGAGCGGCAGCAGCCGCAGCCGCCGCAGCAGGCGCAGCAACAGAAGCAGCCGCCGCAAAAGGAGCAGCAACAGCTGCAGCAACCGCTGCAGGAGCAGCAGCTGCCGTTGCAGGAGCAGCAGGAGTAGCAAGGGCAGCCGCAACAGCAGCAGCAGCAGCCGCCGCCTTCGCCTCTTGCCTCTGGCCTTCGGGCCCTTGGTCTCCCCTCCCCTCCTCCTCCCTCCTCCCCCTCTCCTCCTGTCTATGACCCTACGCTTTCTCCTCCTGACTCCAACCTGGCTGTTTTCCCCCGCTCTCAGCCTCCGTTGTCCCCTCCCCTTTCTCACACTTGGGCTTCCCGCTCTCCTCGTGCTTGTACCTCGTCCCCTATTCCCGTCACTTACCTTCGTACTGTCCTATTTCGTTCTAGTGCGTCTCGTCCGTCTCCGTCTGTGCTTCCGTCTCCTCCTGAGTCGGCCCTCACTGCTTCCCTCTCTACTCCTGTCACTGACTACTACCGCACGTACCGTCCTGTTCTCTCTCGTGTTCTCGCCTCTCTTTTTAGCGACCCTCGTGCCTCTCTATCCTCTGTCTCCACCCTTACTGCCGCTGTTACTGAGTTCGACGCTACTCGCCGCCTTGACTACGCCACTCTTTTAGTGGCCGCTCCTCCTCCCCGTCCTCTGGCCATCGAGGGTGAGACTGCCCTTGGCTATGACTTCCTAGAGGACAGGCAGTTTGAGCTAGAGTTCCTGGCAGCCGCTTCCCCTCATCTCTGTGCCATGCTGCTCGCCCCTGAGGGAGACCCTGACGCCCTTGACATACCGACTCCTCGCACTTACGCTGAGGCAATGTCAGGGCCTTGGGCCTCTCAGTGGAGAGCTGCCATGGACGCAGAGATGGCCTCCTACAGATCCACAGGCACCTACGTCGACGAGGTTCCTCCTCCGAGGACGAACGTAGTCGATGGCATGTGGATTTTCAGGATGAAGCGGCCACTTAGATCTCCTCCGGTCTTCAAGGCGCGCTATGTGGCTAGAGGTTTCAGTCAGCGCGAGGGAGTTGACTTCTTTTAGACCTTCGCGCCTCCCCCACAGATGACTACTCTTCGGGTGTTACTTCACGTAGCAGCACAGAGAGACTACGAGTTACACTCTCTCGACTTCTCCACTGCCTTCCTTCAGGGTAGCCTACACGAGGAGGTCTGGTTACGTCGTCCCTCTGCCTTCACTGACACTTTCCCTCCTGGTACCTAGTGGAGGCTGAGGCGAGCGGTCTACGGTCTCCGTTAGGCGCCTCGTGAGTGGCACGACACCCTTCGCTCTACCCCGTCTGACCTCGGTTTAAAGCCGTCTTCTGCCAACGCGTCGTTGTTCGTTCGTCGTGGCTCCACACCGTTCTTTGTACTGGTCTACGTTGATGACCAAGTCTTCGCCACTGCTGACAGGGTTGCTTTGGCTGACGTGAAGTCTGAACTACAGAAAAGACACACGTGCACTGACCTTGGTGAGCTGCGCCACTACCTTGGCCTGCAGGTCACCAGGGACAGAGCCGCTCGCACCATTACACTCTCACAGTCACACATGGTGCAGCAGGTCCTTCAGTGGTTCGAGCTTCAGCACTCCACAATACAGCGCACACCTCTTGCTATTGACCACAGACTCACTGGACCCTTTCTTGACGAGCCGTTTGAGCCTAGTGGTCCTTACGCAGAGCTTGTGGGCTGCCTCATGTAATTGATGACGTGTACTCACCTAGACCTTGCCTTCCCTCTCAGCATCCTTGCTCGCTTTGTTGCGCCAGGGAGACACCGTCCTGTTCACTGGACAGCTGCTGTGAGGGTGGCGAAGTACTTAGCGACGACATCAGGCGTGGGGCTGATACTTGGAGGGAGACAGTCTGTCGTACTTACTGGTCACTATGACTCTTCTTACGCTGACAACGCCGAGACTTACAGATCTGTCAGAATCCCAGTCACTAACCACTGGGATAAAAGGGCTTTTTTGTGTAGCGGGTGAGTGCGCCCATAACCCCCCAGGCCGCCATGCCTGTAACCCTTCCCTAGGATCAATCGGGGATCACCAGTGGACCTCTGACACCCCCCCGCACTGGGATGCCCGAGGTGCACACACCGGGATTCGAACCCGAGACCTTCGCTCTGATACCATGTCAGAATCCCAGCCACTAACCACTGGGATAAAAGGGCTTTTTTGTGTAGCGGGTGAGTGCGCCCATAACCCCCCAGGCCGCCATGCCTGTAACCCTTCCCTAGGATCAATCGGGGATCACCAGTGGACCTCTGACAAGATCTACTCAGGGGTACTGCTTCAGCCTCGGCTCTAGAGCTGTTTCATGGAGGTCCACGCATTCCTCCACTCTCTCGACCTCTACCGCTGAGGCTGAGATCTACGCTGGAGCCATGGCTGTACAGGAACTGCGTTGGTTGACCTTCTTGCTCACTGACCTTGGTGAGCGGCCGAGCTCTGCACCGACCTTGTTTACTGACAACAAGGCGTTGATTCTTCTGTGTCGAGAGCCTCGACTAGAGAGCAGAGTGAAGCACGTCAACGTCAGGTATTTTCGTTTGTGAGAGTTGCAGAGACATGGACAGGCTCGCTTCTACTTTGTGGAGTCCGAGGCTAACACTGCAGACATCTTCACCAAGGCCCTTCCGCCTTGTGACCACCACATGTGTTGTGTGCAGTTAGGTCTCGTTGACACATGTTCTCGTCTTGTGTAGACTTGTGTTATCTACTTGCTTTGTTTGTACGCTTTGCATATACCTCTGTGAACTCTTGGACTGGCCTTGTGGCTCTTTTGCTTGTGCTCGGACTGTGTGGTGACGTTGTGATCCACCCTAAGCTTTGTTTCTTTGTGACTGGTCTTGTGACCGTACGGTTTTGGTTTTGCTTGACACCCCTCACTTAGGCTATGGGGGTGTGTCAAATGTTGTAGCATTTGGTGATGAGTGTCATATGGGGTACAGCAGTTAGGGTTAGGTTTATATACCCCAACCCACAATAGTAAACATATCATTCGATTCTGACAGTCTGAAATTCAGACAATCAGACAATAAGTTTATGATAAAGAAGACCTGGCTATGAGTGCTCGCTCTGGAAGTGCTGGTTTTGGGGGTGAGGACGTTTAGGGTTGTAATCATAATCTCATGAGGACACCACACAAAACCTTAGGAAGTTCTATTGTATGTAGATGAAGAACTGCCTTTAGTCGCAAGATTAGACGTCCTCCTTACTGCAAATTTTTAAACCTGTACCGTACAAGATTGTTTTCTCAAAAGAGAGAATGTTGCGACCTTCAACAAAAGCCAACCATAGTAACGCTATAACAAAGTCAGAGTTTGAAGTGTTAGACTGAGGAAAAGAGCTAAGAATCTTTTAAAGACTGGGCAATTCCTACCTCAAATGGAAGGATATTGTCATACATCATGAATTTATGCAGGTCTATGACAACCTCCTGCACTTGGAGCAATACGTGTAACTCTAGTAATAGAGTTGATACCGCTTTCTTGTAGCTATCTCGTTGATACGTTCTGTAGCGTCGTACCGCTCGCTACTTCCACACCTAGCGGAAAGGCATACGGCTGTTCAATAACAGCCAGTCTTTCCTGACAAATCTTGCTTGCCCAGCCACGAAACGAGCGGTACGATTGTAACGCAACCAATTACAACGCACTTTCACAACTCGGCATGACGGCTACGCGCTTGGGCACTTGCTCTACACGTAAATCATTCACAGGCAGCCTCCCAAGCGCCGACCAGTTTGGGCAGCACAAACGACAGGTTCGGTTGCTTCTTGGTCTGGCAACCACCAAGCTCCGTCGTGCATCAATTTTGGCTCGATTCGCCGGGTACGCGAACTTTCAGTGTTTCGTCATTGCTAGCGTGGATGGGGGTCTGTGCGAGCTGGGACACGTGGCGGGAGTGGATTGCCTGCGATTGTGACAAGGGCGCGGGCTATTTGAGAAACGTGGGGCTCGAAGTGCAAACTGAACAGTGCACGCTGCGCCCAACCCACCTTTCACCAATTCCCAAATTCTTCTCCAGCAAAGCGCGGCTCGAATCGCACCTCTTCCAGCAGCACGAAATTAGCGCCTCATGCTTTCTAGCCCCTCACACAGCTCTCACCTCCCTGATGCAGCAACAAAAACGAAACATCACAAGAAACGCCACCAAGTAGGGCGCCGCCACAGCCATCTAAAACCACCCAATAGTTAGCACCGCGGTTCGATTAGAATAAGCTTACCTACCACGCCTGAAAAGTCATGCGAGGTTCCTGGTTCAACCCGAGGCAGCAATTCTTTTCCGTGACTCCGTCACGTTACTCGTGACCATTTCCATCGCACCATCCCACATGCCGTCCTTAGCTTTCCAGGGCTCGTAGCAGATATATCCGCAAGGCCGCTTCTTGTTCAGCTTAGAATACGTATCTTTGTCAGAGCTGGTTTCCGCAGTTCACATTAGGGAGCGAGGGTCCACCCCTCGCACCTCCTGAGAAGCACGGAGGAGCCTATTCTGTCTCGCCAAGCGCAGGGAGCTGGTGAAGCTGAAGCTGACATGCAGCAATTACGTCCGCGACCGCTCCCGCTGCCCTATGCGCAGCCGCAGAGCCAATCACAGTCGAGATACGCGTCGCATTCCCAACGAATAGACATTCCTAGTAGGCCGGTTATGGAAAAGCGCGCGACATTTCACGACTCGGAGTCGTGCGACGCCACTAAGTCGTTTCGAAAGGCGCGCTGGCAAGAGTTCCAGCAAACTGCAGTGGATAAGCTTTATTCATTAACGTGGTAAGCTTCGATGTTGTGTTTATTTAGTGAGCGTTAACTTCAGGGTCTAATCCGATTCCCGTGCTTTGGTAACCCTCGTTATACTCTGTGCCATGCTGTGGCACGACAGCTTGTACGTGGCAAGCCGTATTTGCTGACGCGGCTTGCTTGTTGAGTTACGTGGTAAGGCATGTGGAAACGCGATGCGGGTAGAGCCACTCTATAACGAGGCGCGTGACGTGCTGCGCTGTTGATTCTTCGTAGCTCTCACACGAGTTTGAATAGCAGTCTAAACGCATCTCCCTCGCTGACTCAACCGCCCGTTCCCTGCCCTGCCCCCATCCCTCACCTTGTCCCTCCAATTCTCCCCGAACTCCCCCAACCCCCCCCTTACTTCCCCCGCCGACCACCTTCCCTACTGTTCCTTCCCACTTCTCTCCCTCTTGCTTCACCCCATCCCCCCTTTTTTTCTGCGGGAAAATATTAGGTGTCCCTCTCACTTCTCTCTCCCTCGTCCCCTCCATACCAGGGGGCTAGCAGTGCTCGTTTTCACGTCCGTGCCCGGAACGACGTGCCTCATCGGCGCGCTGCTGCTGCCGTCAACAGCCGTGCTCGCACTTCTCGGCGTGTGGCTCGTTATAGAGGCGGTGTTCTTCGTGTTTCGTTATAAGCAACTACAGCGAGTCAGTGACGAGTATGTGGAGCTCCCGCTCCCGTCGCGCGAGGAAATCTCGGCGCTCCTCGACCGGGTCCTGGCCGTCGCGTAAGTCAACGTCGTCGCGTAAGTCAATGGGGTTGCACACCTCGGGGCTCTTGCGTGCGGGACTTGAATGTTTATACGCTTAATTTTCCCCACCTCGCATCTCCCTGCCCGTCTCCGTCGTCTGAACTCGGCCCTTTCCTCCTTCGCGTTATCAGGAAGCAAGCGGATTATAACGACTTCGTGGGGGGATGGTTCATGGGTGCGTCTCTCGCGTCTTTAACGCGTACAAACGTTCGCCAGTTCATCTCGCACGGCTTTTTCCACCGTTTCTACAACGAACTCTCGAGCGAATACCAAGAAGCAGTCGAAGGTAACGAAACGTCTCTAACGCGTATAAACCCTCGCAATGTCCCTTCTCCTCCCAACTCCTTGTCGCTCCCCTCCTCTCTGAAGTTCCCTAAATGTCTATTGTGTCAACGCAAGTCAACTCACGTCAACACAAGCACCCTGTCCGTTTCCCCTTGTGCTTTCCAGAACTTGTTGACAGAGCCGAAGCGGACCTAGGGATGCATTTTAAAGACCCCGACGCGCCGCCTCCGCCTCCCCCGGACCTGCTGTCCTTCGGTTCCGACAGCGAAGGGGAGAGTGAAGTGGGGGAGGAAGAGAGGGGGAAAAGCGAAAGAGGGGCGGGGGACGAGAGGGCAGAGAGCGAGAGCGAGAGCGAAGCGACGGCACGACCACGGCGTTCCGTCGCCGACGCTGCTGCCGGCGGCTCCGCAATCTGCGGCCCGCTGGAAGCGGCGGCAATCGCGGCGTCCTCCAGGAGCCTCGGGCGGAGCTGGAGCGACGCGCAGCTTCCGCGAGCGAGCGGGAGCAGCGCGGATAGTGGAAAAGGGGAAGAGGAAGAGGCGGGGAGCGGAAGCGGGGAAGACGGAAAGGGGGAAGACGAGGCGGGATCCGAGTCGGGCGGAAGGCGGAAAAAGAAGGGCGTAGACGAGTCGGTGCGCTTCATGGCGCACACGCGCGACGCTCCGCGCCATCATCCACCCGCTCGCCTTCTACGTCTGGTGCGCCCCCTCGTCCCTCACCCCCCCCTCCTTAACCTTCTAGCCTGGTGCGCCCTCTCCTCCCCATTCTCCTTCGCCTTCTACGTCTGGTGCGCCTCCTCCCCCACCCCCCTTAGACTTCTACGTTTGGTGCGTCACCATTCCCTCCAAATTCCTTCCCCCCTTCCCTAGCCTCGCGCCTCCCCACATCTCGCCCCTCCTCCCTCTCCCCCTTCTCTCAAACCTCGCGCTACCTCCCCGCTATCTCCCCTCATCTCTCTCTGTCGCCCTCTCCACCTATCCGCCCATGTCCAACAGGGGCCATATCGTGGGTCTCCTCACAGCCGCCGCCATGCGACTTTTGAAGCACCTCAAGAATCCAAACCTCTCCCCCATTTCCTATCTCTCCCTGTCCGTCTGTCCTTTCAGGGGCCATATCGTCGGGCTCCTCACAGCCGCCGCCATGCGTCTCCTCGGCTTCTCCAAGTACGCGCCTTTCTTGTCCTCCATTGACTTCTGTTGACCTCCGTTGACCCCTCTTGACCTTCGTTGACCTTTGGTTGATCTCCATTGACCTTTGGTGTCCTCCGTTGACTGCCGCTGCCCTCTCATAGCATCTGTTAGCCTCTTTCTTGGCCTCTGTTGACCTCTGTTGACTCGCCTCGACTCGCCCGTTCCCCTTGACTTGCGTTGACCAGGCACACCTCACCCAACGGCATTCACTACTGGTTCCGCGCTCCCAAAAAATCGGCGCCAAAGGTGTGTTCTCAGTGCGGATGTGTAAGTCCAGCTGACGTGGAAAACCATTCACTTATGTCTCATGATCCCAACCACTTGGCCTGGTTATCCTGCTGCACTTATCCCCTGGTCAAGTCGGAAATCCACTTTCCCGGTGCAAAATTCCCCGTGCATTACTTGTATCCTTTTTTTACCCTTCAACCCTCACTCATCCCCCTATCACAACAATCCCAAACCCCCTTTCCTGGCCCCCTCCCTCACCGTCTCCCTCCCCCCATCCCATTCCCGCTCCCCCATTGCCCCCCAATTCCGCTCCTCGCAGCGCAAGTCCCACAAGGCAGCAGCAGTGGTGCCGTTTTTCGACGACACGTCAGCAGCAGGCGCCACGTCAGCCGCACCGACCGCGCCGCTGCTTGGCGCGAGCGGGGCCCGCGTGAGAAGAGAGGAGGAGGAGGAGGGGGAGGAGGGGGTGGTGCTGGTCCACGGGCTAGGACTCGGCCTCACTCCCTACCTCTCGTTCGTGCACATGCTCTCGAGAAGCTACCCGAAAAAGGTGATGCACTATTCGTTTCGTGCTGCTTGCTGCATTCTAACGTTGCTCCATTTCTCCCTATGTCGCACCCCACTCATTTTTCTCCACTTTCTCCTCCCACGTACTGAGTGATTGGTTTTCCTATGTCCAAATACTGATTTTCTTCAGAAGCTCATTGTGGTGGAGCTGGCACACCTGGCAGTGCGCCTGTCCACGTCATCACCCACCATCGATGACGTGGCAGACGGGCTAACTGACGCGATGGCAATTCACGGAATGCAATCGGCCATCTTCGTGGGTCACTCGTACGGCGCTCTCGTGCTCGCGCGGGTACGTTGCTACAGTACAAAGGGTGCATATAAAAATTAGCAAATTCAAAGGTTGTACACGTGTTGATCATCACAGCGATAGGTGTGGGAAGGCGATATTCACTGCGTGCTGCCATAGGCTCACACTTACCTCCGCCGGGCCCCACCGACCCCACTTCCCCCACTCCCCCCTCTCCCCCTCTTCCTCTCTCCCCCCGCCCCCCTCCCCTCCCCCACCCCAGCAAGTGCGCAAGCGCCCCGAAACTGTAAGCGCCATGGGCTTTGTGGACCCGGCCTGCTTCCTCCTCTGCCTCCCTAAAGTGCTCTTCAATTTTATCTATAAGTACGTAACCGATTTTCCATGTGCCATCTGGGTGTTTCCTGCTTTGTCTTCCCTGTGGGAGGCAGTGTGGTGTTTTGTCTGTGGGAGTGAGCAGCAGGTGCGCGCACTGCCTCACTACTCCCTGTTACATCACCCCACTCCCCCGTTCCCCATCGTTCCCCTCTCTCCCCATGCCCCTGCAGGGTCCCCGGCTCCCCGTCAATAGGCGACACAATAGCAGAGGCAGTGAGGTGGTTCCTTTGCGGGAGGGAGCTGCAGGTGGCGCGTGCTCTCTGCCGCGGCTTCAACTGGTGAGCCTCTTCTGGTGTAGGTCGTATTCGAATTAACTAGTGCAGGTGGCACGTGCTCTCTGCCGCGGCTTCAATTGGTGAGACACGGTCACTGCTCTCTGCTCTAAGTGTCACCTGGGGTAGGTGGTAACTGATCGGCAACTGATACTGGCGGGCTGAGCTCTCTGTTGCAACTGGTGGGTTGTGCATCTTCTGGGTTCCACCTGGGGTAGGTGGTATCTGAATCGACTGGCGCAGGTGGTGGGCGCTCATCTGCTACCGTCACTCCCATTCATCCCCACTTCACTCTCCCTCCCTTCCCCCACTCCCCCTCTCCCCCACTCCCCCACTCCCCCTCGCAGGCACGCGTACCAGGTGTGGGCGGACGATATCCCCGTGCATCGCTCGGTGGTGATGCTGGCAGGGCAGGACCAGATTGTGCCGTCCGAGCACATCAGAAAGTGAGCGAGCCTGGCAGTCAGTGGGGGTGGGAGGGGGGGTGGTCACAGCAGTTGGGGTTGGGGTTGCTGCCACGCTCAGTGCTGATGCTGGCAGGGCAGGACCAGACTGTGCCATCCGAGCACATCAGAAGGGGGTTGGGGGGAAGGTGTGTGCACTGATGATGCCAGGAAGGGAATTTGATGCCAGGGGGTTGAGAAGGAGAGGAGAGGAGAGGAGAGGAGATGGTTGGGTTTGACTTTTACCATCACTTGCCTAGATTGCTCCCTTTGCTCACGGTCCTCCTCGCCACCTCTCCCCTCTTCCCTCTCCCCTCTCTACCTGCCTCTCCTCTCTATGCAACTGGCCAGCACACCAGTCGATGTGACAACGACGGTTACCACCAACATGCCTCAACTGCCCTGCTCTCTCTGTCCCCTCGCCTCTCCTCGCCCCCCCTCCCCTCTCCGCTCTTCACAGCTACCTGTCCAACACACCAGTTGATGTGATGTACAATGATGGTTACCACCATGCGCAAATACTGTTCAGGTATAAATCACATGTACAGAGTTTACTTATCTCTGCGCTAGCTTGTTCCTCTTTCTTTTCTCCCTGTCGCTACTTCTTTCTGTTTCTTCTTGTAGGCACATATAAAAAGTATCCATCCCCCTGCTTTCACTTCGGTTCCCCCTTTCTCCTCACCCCTCTCCTCCATCGGCTTTCCCTCTCCCTCTCCCTCCTCCTCTCCCTCTCCTTCTCCCTCTCCTCTCTATCTCCTCTTCTCCCTATACTTCCCTTCTCAAATATCCCCCACACAGTGACGCCAAGCAGCGTGAATTCATCACACGCCTCAAGGCAGCTTGCCACTGACTGTTGATGACGATTGGCTGCATCAGCTGAAGCCGCGGCTGCATCAGCTAAAGCCGTGGCTTCGTCAGCGCCAGTTCCGCAATTCATTTACCCACATGGCGGCATGTGGGTGGCGAAGGCACCAATCAGCAAGAAGGCATGTGGCAGCACTTAACAGAGAGCAAGAATTTTGGTATATGCGTGGAGGGAAGAAGCCAGGATTGAAATTGCAGCTTGCATTACCACGCTGTGAGGTGGAAATAAGCTGCTCGATTCTTTCTGTTCGTCGTCTAACCACCAGACTGACTTGCAGTGGCAATGGAAGCAGCAACAGCAGCAGCAGCAGCAGCAGCAGCAGCAGCAGCAGGAGGAGGAGGAGCAGCAGCAGCAGCAAAGCAACCAGCAGGCCAATGTGACTTCCGTCACTAGGCGTCACTAACAAGTCCTCCGCGGAGGATGCTGCACCGTATGCAGTTTAGTCGGTCAATCTGAGGGTTGATTGGTCAAGCAATTGGTCCTATCAATTGGAGGGTATTGATGGTTACTTCGATAGTTGATGTAGCACGTTCATTAGGCATCACCGAAGCGTACGAATAATTAATGCTTGTGCTGCTGCTGCTGCTGCCTCTACGATGGAAGAGGATCTTGCTAAGTGGGTTAGATGCAATATCATTATTTGTACCCTGAATATGATAAACATACTTTAATAATGTCTAGTGATTCGGTCTTCAGGATTTCCTTTGATACAGAGATGTAGTTTTTTTAGGTAGTTATGCCACGAGATCACACGCACAACGCGTGCCTGGCACGCGACTCATCCTCACTGCGATTGTTCTAAAAAAATAATATATCACCATTTCCTACTTCCAGTTACCAGCTATATAGCCCTTTTTGAACAATGAACATGTGAATTATGAAGGTGGTGCAATTCCGGGCTGTTTGTGCGAAAAAAAAATGCATTTTCGCGGTCGAAAGGCACACAAGCCGCGCAATTCTACAAGCCGCGACTACGAGGCGCGATGCAATTTTCGTTTGGGGGAGGGAAAGCGAAATGCACATCCCAAAATCACAAATCGCTCTCTTCCAGTTTTGTTTGGGTTCATTCGTGCTGCACAAGAGCGGGTCTTTGCCTTGCAGCTTTTGGCCGACGATGAGACTTCTGTTGTTCATTTGGAATCCATTTCTGCTGGATCCAGAATATAGTCTTCACTCACGATAGCTCCTCACTTAAGCAGCTGTGATAGTCCCACGTTGTTGTGATAGCTCAGCTCCACTTCTGCAATTCACTTTAGAAGTGTGCGCAGGCGAAAGGCCGGAGATCCGTTAGCGTGATTAAGCGCCTAGTGCAGTTGTGTTTTCAGCCGCTTATCTTCCTAGTCATTTTAGAGCTATGGCGCTCCGCCGTTCCGCTCTGTTTCTCTGCCTGATGCTACTAGCGGTCGTGCATGCTGCTTCATCAAGCGTACGCGATGACGTAGGAGCTATTCGAATCCGCGGTCAACCCAGGAGTTTGGCACAAGTTGCCCCGTGCCGCGCGTCCACGTTGGGAGGGTACACTTCATCGGTCGGATTTAACAGAAAAGGGTAGGGAAGGGAATTCGATTTTGATTAACTTGAGAATGTTGCCTGCTTTCACTTCATGAGCCTAAAAGATAAGCGCGAAAAAACGAGAAGCATTGCGACGCCCAGAGCCTCTGGTAATGGTCAAGGGGAAAGCTAACGGAGGAGGTCTCTTCCGTCTGTTCGTCTGTCGCCTTCATTCTCGGTAACTAAAGTTCCAAGAACGTGCACTGTTCTTTGATATTTGTTTCCAGGTTCAACCTCCACTGGAAGGTGACGAGCCGTCAGAGCATCGATATTGCCGTCGAGGCCAAGACCGGCAGCGGTGTCGCAAGGGGCTGGTTCGCTATAGGCTGGTCCAAGTCCGGCCTAATGTACCCCGCGGACGCCGTTATAATGAATTTCAAATCCGACGAGGACGACACTACACCGCCCTTGGGCACATTCGCGTTGTCGAAGCACGAGGAGTCGGGAGTGAAACCAACATCGAGGTTCGCTATAACGAACACGGAATTCACGTCGAATACTAGCGCCGGCGTTCTCGTCAGGTGGGCTTAGCTGCTAGTACCAGAATCTGTCCCGTCTTCCGTTTACGCGTGACATTCCGTCGTACTAAGAAAGCCCCGCTTGCATAGTCGCGTATCGCGTACCAAATCTTCTCTTTTCCCATATGGCCCTGCCTCCGCCTCCACAGTCCCGTTTCGCCACTGAATACCAGCCTGCTTACATCGTTTCCCGTATGGCCCTGCCGTCGGATCAGGTTCACTCGGAGCAAGTTCGACGGTATCGTGCCCGTCAATTACAACGGCCCGAATCAGATCATCTTCGCATACGCGCCCTACGGAAGCCAGGAGGTCAAGGGTCACGCCGGCAAGAGGTAACGACGCGCCCTCGCCCCCCCTTTTTGAGCCGAATGAAAAGACGGAAAGAATCACATCTACCTTTTCAATCAAATTCAAAAACCAGCAAGAAGCACAACGCTCTGGGGTCTACCACCTATTCACACCGTTCTGCACCGCCTTGGCTCCAATCATGAATTCCCCTCCCCACCACCCGCATTCCATCGTAGCCTTATCGCATTCCCTCCGTCCCCCTCTCCCCGGTTTCTGCCCTCTCCCCTTCTTGCGCCCCCTCCCCCTCGGGCCGCCCCTTCCTACCCCAGGGGATGGATTCTTGTCGACTTCTCCTGCAAGCCCGGCTCCGCTTCCGCCTCCGGTTCCCCCGCGCCCTCCTCCCCCTCTAAAGCGCCTTCCGCCACACAAACCCCTTCCCCGGCCAAGTCCCCTTCCCCCGTCAAATCTTCCCCCAAATCCCCAAAATCCCCCCCGAAGTCCCCGAAGCCGTCCCCGCCCCCCCCTTCCCCCCCCGCTGATGTGATGAACCCAGTGAGCACCCCCTGTAAGAGCACCTCCGGTAGTAGCAGCAGCTCCTGTAAAGCCTCGACACTGGCTGGTTACACTTCTTATGTCGACTTAAATGGCAAAGGGTAAGCTTATATGTGACAATTTCTCCTTTGGTTCCTCTCTGCAGTCGATAAACAGGAGCCACAAAAGCCACAAGCTTCCTCATGCCTTATTTTTCCATGTACACTTCTGCCCTGTCCCCGTTGCAGACTGCTCCTTCATTGGAAAGTGACCTCTGATTCCAGTGTAGCTCTGGCGGTTGAGGCGAAAACAGGCAGCGGGGCGGAGAAGGGGTGGTTTGGCGTGGGGTGGTCAGGATCGAGCTCTATGGTCCCTTCTGATGCCGTCATTGGTAACGTGAAAGGCCTGTTGCCTGTAGCGAGTTACGCTGTATCGGGGTACAGTGTGGGCCAAATCAAGGTCACTTCGCGGTTCGCCATCGGCCAGCCAGAGCTGCTGACATCATCCGATGGCGTCATCATGAAGTACGTTAGTGTGATGAGGGTGGGCGCTGTAACGAGTGAGCATGTGCCATTGTGAGAAGTGAGGTTTAGTGAGCATGAGGCGTGAGAGAGTGGTGTGAGATTGTAGAGGATTGAGCGTGACAAGAGAATGCTCACATTGAGAACGCCCAGCAACATACTCGTGGTCTTCTGTTCCAACCTCCTTCACTCTAGCAGTGGTCCAGTGCAAGTGCTACAAGCGTTGGTTGGTCATCCAGCAACAAATGCCCATGATGTGTCTTCCTCACATTAACATCTTCCGTCTGTTCCCTCTGCAGGTTTGGTCGAAGCAAGGCTGACGGGGAAGGCATAGCGGCGGTGGCATACAAGGGAAAGAATAAGATCATCTGGGCGTATTCGGGCAGCGGCTCTCGCACCATCAACGACCACAAGAATAACTAGTAAGCCACGACAAACCTACAAAACACATTTCAAATTCTTATCGACAGCCTTGTTCTAATGTTGACTTCAGCGTGTCCAGGACTTGGGGGATATGAGAGGTAGTGCTTTGATTTCTTCCTTGCCTGATACGGTAATATTTCCCCTCCACTCCCTCTTTCTCTCTCCTGCCTTGTGCAGTGGCTCCACAACTGTGGATTTCTCCTGCAAGCCTGCACCGACCAAGTGCTGAAACCCTCCCTCCTTCCCAACGTTTGCATGCAAGTACTACCTCTTTTCCTCCTCCTATCTCTCTCCGCTCCCCCCCTCCCTTTAGTCAGTCATGATTAGAAAGGGGACATTGTGTAGTTCAAAAAGGCCAGGTTTGGACATACTACACTTGGTGCCATTTACGGCACCTAATAAAGTGTTGATTCTAGGGAACAAGGGCACTGTATATTCCAATCATCAACGTGAAATCTTTGGCCGTGGGTTGAAGAATCAACCCATTTCCGGGGGCTTATGATTCGTCCTGGTGGGTACAGCTATTTGCTTCAAGCTCCCTGCAATTGGCATGCTGGCTGATGAAATATGTACACTGAACAACAGCACGAACCGCATTATCTCTTCTTCACAGTCTCCTAACCCACAATCCCGCAGCCACCTGCGGCTTAGTAATCGATCTAAAGCACTACTTTATGCCTTGACGCATACGTGCGGATTTTCCTGCACAGATTTGTACCCACTCGCACACCTGCACTTGAACTGCCCCTTACCTGCGGGAACACACACACCATGTCCCGAGCACGGCCCGTTCGTCGTTCTCGTCCCGCAAAACCTACTGCACGCCGCCGCACTCCGCTGCTGTTTCATGTTACACGTGGCGCTCTTACCGAGGCAGTTCAGCGCCGCGAGATACTCATCGTCGCCTGAGTCGGGATCCGCCTGCCCCTCCTCCGGGCAAACCTTCCGATTGGACATTATAAACTCCGGGCTGCCCCAAAAATAATTTCCGCGCACGTCTACCGGTGGCTCCTCTTCTCCTCCCATGAACCATAGATTCGGCATGGGCCCTGAGAAGAGATTGAACGAGATGTTGAAATCTGCCACGTGGACCTTCTGAAACGCGTCTGCGGGAATCGCGCCGACGAACGCGTTGCGCTGCAGGTACAGGTGTTCGATAACCGGGGTGGTTTTTAAATTCGCCCAGGGAAACTCCCCTCCTAGCCTATTGAACGAAAGGTCCAAGGAATGCAGGTTCGGCATGTTCTTCAGCAGAGCCGCTGGGACAGTTCCCTTGAGCCTATTCCCGGCCAATCGCAGACTCGCCAGCTTTTTCATCTGCCCGAACTGGGACGGGACCTTGCCCGAAAGAAGGTTCCAGCTGAGGTTAATGTCCGTCAGAGCCGGATGAGTCGCAAGCGCGGCGATAGACGAACCAGTGAATTGATTGCTACGCAGATCCACCTCCTCGAGGCTCTTTATAGCGAATATAACGGACACGGGAAGTTCACCAGAGAGTTTGTTGTTTCCGAGAAGCAGCCGCTTCAGGCCCTTGATTTTCGCGAGGCTCCGCGGAATTGACCCAGTCAACCGATTTCCACCCAAGTCAAGCACGCTGAGCGCCGCCATGCTGGATAATTCCGGGGGGATTTCGCCTTCCAGGCGGTTCCATTGGAGGTCGAGGAACTCGAGGCGGTTCAGCCGCGCAAGCCCGCGCGGAATGCTCCCCGCGAGCCCCGTTCCGCGGAGCCCGAGGTACGTGAGCCGCGCGAGTTTCCCGAGGAAATCCGGAAGGCCGCCGGAGAGGCTCCCATGGATGTTGTCGCGAATGCTGAACGATTCGAGCTTCTGCAGTTTCGCGAGGCTTTTGGGTAAGCCGCCGCCGATGCGCCAGTTATTGGAGAAGTCCATCAGCGTCAGCTCCGTGAGGTTTCCGACGGATTCCGTCAACGCGCCGGTGCATGTGTAATCGCTGATGTAGACCTGCGTGACCATCCCGCCGTCATTGCAAACGACGCCGGACCATTTCGAGCAGTCGGTACCGGCGATCCATGTGTTGGTTATCAAGCAGTTTCCCCACGCGGTTTTCAGGGAGAGTAGCGCCTTCTCTTGCGAGGGGAGCAGGGAGACGGCGCTGGAGGGGGGAATCGCAGCGGACGCGTAAAGTGAGACGAGGACGACGAGTGATAGGAGTGCCATTGTCGCTTCTAAACGAGAATGATCGAGATTACAACAATCGCGCGGATTAATCAGTTGTTGGCTAAATCCTGCCTCAAAGGCACTGCAGTGAGACTAGCTATGTATCGCTGCTGGAAAAAGATGTCACGGGAACCTGCTATTGATCACTGTTGGGAAACGATCAAGCCCAGCTTGCTTTATACACGAGCTCTTCTATGGTTGATCTACAAGCGGTGCGTTGCTTGCAGAGCTGGCAATGGGGAGCTGCAGGGAAGGGAAGACCTGCGGGTCGGATTTCTTATGCTGTCTAGTTTGCGAATGGACATTCACAAGTGACAGCGCCCACCAGCAGCTCTGCCAGAAAATGGCATTTTCCAGTTCCTCGGTCAGGGCCTAAACCCTCTTCGCTGTGTTGTTCACGCGTCACAACTTTCTTGGGAAAGAGACTTCCCAAAATACAGCGACAGATGGAAAGCCTAGTTGAGGAGGAGGATTTGCTTTGCTCACACCCAAGAAGCATATTTGTGTGCCAGGCAATCGAAATTTCACAACAAGCGCCATTTGTGAAATTGCGAATCGCGAGTACAACTTGCTGAAGTGGCAAACGGATTGACATCGGGAGCGGAAACCGTGGCCAGCGAATGTTGGCCGCCACGTCTATTCCCCCTGCTTGGGTCACTGCACCAGCGACGGCGCGGCTGGCCCAGCTGACGTTGGATGATAGATGTCGAACCGCTAGCGCCTCGAGAGTCAGTACGTCAGCAACATCACTGTGCAATACTTGAAATTAGCCAGCTACCAGTACATGCTTGGGTATGAGCAACACCTGCTACTGACATAACATCCTTTGTCTAACCCAGCATTTAAAGTATGGGCCACAAGGGCTTTTTTAATCTAATATAGTTGGGCCTGCTGCTAAAACTGCAGTCAGATTATAGATAAGGTGGGAACAACCAGAAACAGCAGGAAACATTCCAAACCGGCAAAATCGCCAGCAGTAGCAGTCGCAGCATCAACAGCAGCGACGGCAGCAGCAGCCCGGGGCAGGTCACTCATCGGGAGCCTCGATGGTAACCACACTACTGCCCTTGCCAGGACTGGTAATCGCCGACCCTGACCCTACACCCCCACTACCAAGAGGCAGAACAGCAGTGGACGATGTGAGGATGGCTGAGGAGGAGGAGGTGGATGAGGAGAGCAAGTGAGGGACGTCAGTAATGAAAAGAGCGACCATTGCCACCATTATACCCTGATAGGGGGGAGAGGGAAGAGGGGAGGGGTCGATTGTGCAGAGGGAGAGGCGGAGGGAAGGAAGGGTGTGGGGATAAGTAGACCGGGCGAGTGAGGGACGTCATTTATGACGAGAGCAACCATCTCCACAATTATGCCCTGATGGAGCGGGAGAGGGAGCGGTGCGGAGATGAGCAGGGGGGCAATGAGAAAGCGAGCAATGTCAGTTGACAAGAGAGAGCACGTGAGGCACGTCAGTCATGAAGAGAGCAACCATCGCCACCCTTATGCCCTGATGGAGGAGGGGAAGGTTGTTTAGAGAAGTAAGGAAGAAGAGCAAGTGAAGGACGTGAGTTCCAGAGAGAGTGCATCGCCACCTTATGCCCTGATAGAGCAAGGAGAGGGAGAGGGGTGAGTGTGGGAAGGAGCAGAGGGAAGTAAGGAAGGGTGCGGAGATGAGTGGGTTGGAATGAGAACGCGAGGGCCACCAGTTCTGAAGAGAGAGCACGGCCATCACTCTCCACCAGTAAGGGATCCCACCTACGATGAGAGAACACCAGCATCTCCTTTCCTTGCTGAAGGGGTAGAGATGATGGTGATGGTGATGGTGATGGTGGTGGTGGTGGTGGTGGTGGTGGTGGTGGTGGTGGTGTGGTGGTGGTGGTGGTGGTGGTGGTGGTGTTGGTGGTGGTGGTGGTGGTGGTGGTGGTGGTGGTGGTGGTGGTGGTGGTGGTGGTGGTGGTGGTGGTGGTGGTGGTGGTGGTGGTGGTGGTGGTGGTGGTGGTGGTGGTGGTGGTGGTGGTGGTTGTGGTGGTGGTTGAGGAGGAGGAGGAGGAGGAGGAGCGAGAATAAAGGAGCAGGGGGCGAGAATGAAGGAGGAGGAGCTCATAAGGCTAGCTGGGTGATGATGCTAGCTGGGTGATGACGATCACGCTTACCATGCCCATCAAGATGTCCGGCACTTTGCAGAGCGGTGCAAAGCGGTCCAGAGTCCAATGCGCCCATACTTTCTCCAGGTGATAATAATCATCCGTACAGAGCACATCAAGATGTGGCCCAGAGCGGTGCGAAGAGGACCAGAGTGCAATGCGTCCATACACTCTCTAGGAAGACCCCCCTATCGGATCTCACCATGCTTACAGGGCTAAAAAGGCCCCTCTTCATGCTTACCACGCCCGTCAGGATTTGAGGCACTTTCCAGAGCGGTGCAAAGGGGTCCAGAGGGAAGAGCAGCAGGATTATGATAACCTGCAAGGGTAACGAGGGACAGAAGCAGGCAGAGGAAAGCCTGAGACTTGCCGTAGACGGTGGTGATTCGCGAAGTCACTGATTTGCATGGCAAGGAAGCTGAGGGAGAGGCGTGGAAGCAGAGAGCGAGCCCTTCCCCTTGACACGAGAGAGGAGAGCTGGTGGCCGTACCCGTGAGAGAATATTTTTGAGGAGAGAGAGGAGAGGTGGTGGTCTTACTCGAGACAAGAGAGGAGAGGGAGTGAGGTTGGTAGGGTATGCTCAAAAGTCCCCTTGACATGAGAGAGGAGAGGTGGTGGTCTTACCCGTGAGACAAGAGAGGAGACGAGCCCGCCAGAGATTCTTAGCAGCAGCGCTGTGAGGAAGGCTGCCAAAGCTGATGGCTGCAGGGGGAGGGAGGATGGAGGAGAGGCAGTGAGGTCGGACAGGGTATGCTCGAATGGGTGGAGATTTGAGCAGCAGCGCTGTGAGTAAGGCTGCCAAAGCTGATGGATACAGTGGGAGGGAGGGCGGAGGAGAGGTAGTGAGGGAGGGAGGGCGGAGGAGAGGTAGTGAGGGAGGGAGGGCGGAGGAAGAGAGGGAGGGATGAGGTTGGACGGGGCATCAGCATGGGGTGCATCAGCATGGGGTGCATCAGCATGGGGTGCATTCACAGGAGAAGGTGAGGGTAGGGGGTGAGGCAGATGGGGGGGATATGAGGGAAGGGTGACGTGGGTGGGTCATGGTGCGGGCATACATGGGGCATGAAACAATGTAGGGATGACGGGTGGGTGAAGGGATGAAGGGAGGGTGGGGAATGGAGGGAAGGTAAAGGGAAGTGTGTGGTACGTGTGGTATGTGTGGCATATGTGGTATGTGTGGTATGTATGGCATGTGTTTCACATCACTACACGTGGGACACACATGCATACTACAAAGGCGAGGATCAGCTACAGCAGGCACTGCAGGCAGTCGAAGACAGAACCAAAGGCAGACAACACACAGACGCGCACACTTAGAGTAACACAGAGGCACATAGCTACACAGCTCCACTGAAGGGGCATAGCAGCACATGCACATACGACAGATGTCAGAACCAGGTAGAGCAGGCATCGCGGGCAGTCAAAGACAAGAACAAAGGCAGATAACACACGCACACACACACCCACATTGCTATACGACTTCAGTGAAAGGGCATAGCAGCACATGCACATACCACAGAGGCCAGCACGAGGTAGAGCAGGCACTGCGGGCAGTCAAAGACAAAGCCAAAGGCGCGATCGAAGTGGTCGCTGAAGGCAAACGCTGGCAGGGGGTTGGGGGGGAAGGGGGGCGCATGTGAGGGGAGTGTTAGGGCTGGTGAATGCTGGCATCTAGGGCTGGTGAATGCTGGCATCTAGGGCTGGTGAATGCTCGCATCTAGGGCTGGTGAATGCTCGCATCTAGGGCTGGTGAATGCTGGCATCTAGGGCTGGTGAATGCTCGCATCTAGGGCTGGTGAATGCTGGCATCTAGGGCTGGTGAATGCTGGCATCTAGGGCTGGTGAATGCTCGCATCTAGGGCTGGTGAATGCTCGCATCTAGGGCTGGTGAATGCTGGCATCTAGGGCTGGTGAATGCTGGCATCTAGGGCTGGTGAATGCTCGCATCTAGGGCTGGTGAATGCTGGCATCTAGGGCTGGTGAATGCTGGCATCTAGGGCTGGTGAATGCTGGCATCTAGGGCTGGTGAATGCTCGCATCTAGGGCTGGTGAATGCTCGCATCTAGGGCTGGTGAATGCTGGCATCTAGGGCTGGTGAATGCTGGCATCTAGGGCTGGTGAATGCTGGCATCTAGGGCTGGTGAATGCTCGCATCTAGGGCTGGTGAATGCTGGCATCTAGGGCTGGTGAATGCTGGCATCTAGGGCTGGTGAATGCTGGCATCTAGGGCTGGTGAATGCTGGCATCTAGGGCTGGTGAATGCTGGCATCTAGGGCTGGTGAATGCTGGCATCTAGGGCTGGTGAATGCTGGCATCTAGGGCTGGTGAATGCTCGCATCTAGGGCTGGTGAATGCTGGCATCTAGGGCTGGTGAATGCTGGCATCTAGGGCTGGTGAATGCTGGCATCTAGGGCTGGTGAATGCTGGCATCTAGGGCTGGTGAATGCTGGCATCTAGGGCTGGTGAATGCTGGCATCTAGGGCTGGTGAATGCTCGCATCTAGGGCTGGTGAATGCTGGCATCTAGGGCTGGTGAATGCTGGCATCTAGGGCTGGTGAATGCTCGCATCTAGGGCTGGTGAATGCTCGCATCTAGGGCTGGTGAATGCTCGCATCTAGGGCTGGTGAATGCTGGCATCTAGGGCTGGTGAATGCTGGCATCTAGGGCTGGTGAATGCTGGCATCTAGGGCTGGTGAATGCTCGCATCTAGGGCTGGTGAATGCTGGCATCTAGGGCTGGTGAATGCTCGCATCTAGGGCTGGTGAATGCTCGCATCTAGGGCTGGTGAATGCTCGCATCTAGGGCTGGTGAATGCTCGCATCTAGGGCTGGTGAATGCTGGCATCTAGGGCTGGTGAATGCTCGCATCTAGGGCTGGTGAATGCTCGCATCTAGGGCTGGTGAATGCTGGCATCTAGGGCTGGTGAATGCTGGCATCTAGGGCTGGTGAATGCTGGCATCTAGGGCTGGTGAATGCTGGCATCTAGGGCTGGTGAATGCTGGCATCTAGGGCTGGTGAATGCTGGCATCTAGGGCTGGTGAATGCTGGCATCTAGGGCTGGTGAATGCTGGCATCTAGGGCTGGTGAATGCTGGCATCTAGGGCTGGTGAATGCTGGCATCTAGGGCTGGTGAATGCTCGCATCTAGGGCTGGTGAATGCTCGCATCTAGGGCTGGTGAATGCTGGCATCTAGGGCTGGTGAATGCTGGCATCTAGGGCTGGTGAATGCTGGCATCTAGGGCTGGTGAATGCTGGCATCTAGGGCTGGTGAATGCTGGCATCTAGGGCTGGTGAATGCTGGCATCTAGGGCTGGTGAATGCTGGCATCTAGGGCTGGTGAATGCTGGCATCTAGGGCTGGTGAATGCTGGCATCTAGGGCTGGTGAATGCTGGCATCTAGGGCTGGTGAATGCTGGCATCTAGGGCTGGTGAATGCTCGCATCTAGGGCTGGTGAATGCTGGCATCTAGGGCTGGTGAATGCTGGCATCTAGGGCTGGTGAATGCTGGCATCTAGGGCTGGTGAATGCTGGCATCTAGGGCTGGTGAATGCTGGCATCTAGGGCTGGTGAATGCTGGCATCTAGGGCTGGTGAATGCTGGCATCTAGGGCTGGTGAATGCTGGCATCTAGGGCTGGTGAATGCTGGCATCTAGGGCTGGTGAATGCTCGCATCTAGGGCTGGTGAATGCTCGCATCTAGGGCTGGTGAATGCTGGCATCTAGGGCTGGTGAATGCTCGCATCTAGGGCTGGTGAATGCTGGCATCTAGGGCTGGTGAATGCTGGCATCTAGGGCTGGTGAATGCTCGCATCTAGGGCTGGTGAATGCTGGCATCTAGGGCTGGTGAATGCTCGCATCTAGGGCTGGTGAATGCTCGCATCTAGGGCTGGTGAATGCTGGCATCTAGGGCTGGTGAATGCTCGCATCTAGGGCTGGTGAATGCTGGCATCTAGGGCTGGTGAATGCTCGCATCTAGGGCTGGTGAATGCTCGCATCTAGGGCTGGTGAATGCTGGCATCTAGGGCTGGTGAATGCTCGCATCTAGGGCTGGTGAATGCTCGCATCTAGGGCTGGTGAATGCTCGCATCTAGGGCTGGTGAATGCTCGCATCTAGGGCTGGTGAATGCTGGCATCTAGGGCTGGTGAATGCTGGCATCTAGGGCTGGTGAATGCTGGCATCTAGGGCTGGTGAATGCTGGCATCTAGGGCTGGTGAATGCTGGCATCTAGGGCTGGTGAATGCTCGCATCTAGGGCTGGTGAATGCTGGCATCTAGGGCTGGTGAATGCTGGCATCTAGGGCTGGTGAATGCTGGCATCTAGGGCTGGTGAATGCTGGCATCTAGGGCTGGTGAATGCTCGCATCTAGGGCTGGTGAATGCTGGCATCTAGGGCTGGTGAATGCTGGCATCTAGGGCTGGTGAATGCTCGCATCTAGGGCTGGTGAATGCTGGCATCTAGGGCTGGTGAATGCTCGCATCTAGGGCTGGTGAATGCTGGCATCTAGGGCTGGTGAATGCTCGCATCTAGGGCTGGTGAATGCTGGCATCTAGGGCTGGTGAATGCTCGCATCTAGGGCTGGTGAATGCTCGCATCTAGGGCTGGTGAATGCTGGCATCTAGGGCTGGTGAATGCTCGCATCTAGGGCTGGTGAATGCTGGCATCTAGGGCTGGTGAATGCTCGCATCTAGGGCTGGTGAATGCTGGCATCTAGGGCTGGTGAATGCTGGCATCTAGGGCTGGTGAATGCTCGCATCTAGGGCTGGTGAATGCTCGCATCTAGGGCTGGTGAATGCTCGCATCTAGGGCTGGTGAATGCTGGCATCTAGGGCTGGTGAATGCTGGCATCTAGGGCTGGTGAATGCTCGCATCTAGGGCTGGTGAATGCTGGCATCTAGGGCTGGTGAATGCTCGCATCTAGGGCTGGTGAATGCTCGCATCTAGGGCTGGTGAATGCTGGCATCTAGGGCTGGTGAATGCTGGCATCTAGGGCTGGTGAATGCTGGCATCTAGGGCTGGTGAATGCTGGCATCTAGGGCTGGTGAATGCTGGCATCTAGGGCTGGTGAATGCTCGCATCTAGGGCTGGTGAATGCTGGCATCTAGGGCTGGTGAATGCTGGCATCTAGGGCTGGTGAATGCTGGCATCTAGGGCTGGTGAATGCTCGCATCTAGGGCTGGTGAATGCTCGCATCTAGGGCTGGTGAATGCTGGCATCTAGGGCTGGTGAATGCTGGCATCTAGGGCTGGTGAATGCTGGCATCTAGGGCTGGTGAATGCTCGCATCTAGGGCTGGTGAATGCTCGCATCTAGGGCTGGTGAATGCTGGCATCTAGGGCTGGTGAATGCTCGCATCTAGGGCTGGTGAATGCTGGCATCTAGGGCTGGTGAATGCTCGCATCTAGGGCTGGTGAATGCTCGCATCTAGGGCTGGTGAATGCTGGCATCTAGGGCTGGTGAATGCTCGCATCTAGGGCTGGTGAATGCTGGCATCTAGGGCTGGTGAATGCTGGCATCTAGGGCTGGTGAATGCTGGCATCTAGGGCTGGTGAATGCTGGCATCTAGGGCTGGTGAATGCTGGCATCTAGGGCTGGTGAATGCTGGCATCTAGGGCTGGTGAATGCTGGCATCTAGGGCTGGTGAATGCTGGCATCTAGGGCTGGTGAATGCTGGCATCTAGGGCTGGTGAATGCTCGCATCTAGGGCTGGTGAATGCTGGCATCTAGGGCTGGTGAATGCTCGCATCTAGGGCTGGTGAATGCTGGCATCTAGGGCTGGTGAATGCTCGCATCTAGGGCTGGTGAATGCTCGCATCTAGGGCTGGTGAATGCTGGCATCTAGGGCTGGTGAATGCTGGCATCTAGGGCTGGTGAATGCTGGCATCTAGGGCTGGTGAATGCTCGCATCTAGGGCTGGTGAATGCTGGCATCTAGGGCTGGTGAATGCTGGCATCTAGGGCTGGTGAATGCTCGCATCTAGGGCTGGTGAATGCTCGCATCTAGGGCTGGTGAATGCTGGCATCTAGGGCTGGTGAATGCTCGCATCTAGGGCTGGTGAATGCTGGCATCTAGGGCTGGTGAATGCTCGCATCTAGGGCTGGTGAATGCTGGCATCTAGGGCTGGTGAATGCTGGCATCTAGGGCTGGTGAATGCTGGCATCTAGGGCTGGTGAATGCTGGCATCTAGGGCTGGTGAATGCTGGCATCTAGGGCTGGTGAATGCTGGCATCTAGGGCTGGTGAATGCTGGCATCTAGGGCTGGTGAATGCTGGCATCTAGGGCTGGTGAATGCTCGCATCTAGGGCTGGTGAATGCTCGCATCTAGGGCTGGTGAATGCTGGCATCTAGGGCTGGTGAATGCTCGCATCTAGGGCTGGTGAATGCTGGCATCTAGGGCTGGTGAATGCTGGCATCTAGGGCTGGTGAATGCTGGCATCTAGGGCTGGTGAATGCTGGCATCTAGGGCTGGTGAATGCTGGCATCTAGGGCTGGTGAATGCTGGCATCTAGGGCTGGTGAATGCTGGCATCTAGGGCTGGTGAATGCTGGCATCTAGGGCTGGTGAATGCTGGCATCTAGGGCTGGTGAATGCTGGCATCTAGGGCTGGTGAATGCTGGCATCTAGGGCTGGTGAATGCTGGCATCTAGGGCTGGTGAATGCTGGCATCTAGGGCTGGTGAATGCTCGCATCTAGGGCTG